AATCACTACAGGCACACCTGATGAAGCTTCTGTGCGCCCCCCCCCCCTCAAATGCCACCTCCACCTGGTCCTCACCAGACCCCAGCAGGAAGAGACAGAGCTGCAGTGGCAGTGTGGCACACTGGTAAGCAACCAGCCAGGCGGTACCACTCCAGGGCACAGGAAGTTTGCTGCCACCACTCCAGGGCACAGGGGGTGAAGGAACTACAAAATTCACAGTTACTGGCCTTTTGAGGGGTCCAGCAGGTATCCTTCAGGGCAGCTACCGAACCCAAGCATCTCTCCTGCACACACGAGCTGTCTCAGAACGAGTTCACGCAAATGCAAATTCTTGACATCAACCCAATGGCTACACCCATTATGGGGCCGAGGCGATGTGCCATTGCTCTGAACCCCGAATTTTACAATTTATGTCAATTCCCCCGGCACACAAACACAAAGTGCACAACAACTTGAAAGGATGCAAGGAAGTGAGGTCCTTCCTTAAAGATATCAGATTTCTCTGCAGTTTTAAGACTTTTTCCATCAAATTTTAAAAGCGAATGAAAGATTAAAGGAAACATCTCCTGAAAGTGTGTTTACAGGGGCATTTATTCTAACAAAAATTACATCTTTGAAAATAAAACATCCTTCCTCTAGAGCAATATGCACTGATATGCATTTAAATGGATACTTGCTTTTAGATGGAGCTGATTGGTCCAGTGCCCGATGATTTTGTACTCTGGACTTTTGTTGGTTATTTGATACTGGAAGATATCATAACGTCCAGGAGCATCTCCATTCTCATTAAACGTAACAGGTGTTCCAGCACTACCTGTAGATTTAGAAAAAAAAACCTGTTAGGAAACAGTTTTAGTCAGATACTCCTCTGGGCTTATTATTCTCTAGGGGAAAAAATGGTAGATAAAACATTTTGTGTGCAGTCAGAGATAGGAAGATTGTAATACACACAAGGCCATTCTTGATAGCATAATGCGATCTGCCTGAGGAGAAACCCAGATCCGCACACAAGGAGATGTGCTTTATGTCGGACAATAAATGATGAACATCCATGTTAAGCACTATAAATAACAGCTAAAGAAAAAAAAGGGGGATCGGTGGAATACTCAAGACTAGATACAAAGAAGGGAAGTTAATAGAGAAGTATGAACGCTATTGTAAAGTTGTGACCAATCAACACCAACTGACGGTGACCCCGAGTATGGGTGGGAGAGCTATGCTCCATAAAACTTTCCATGATTTGTGGAAGTAGATCTCCAAGCATTAGTCATGTTTACAACCCAGGTGCAATATGAACTACAAATAGCAACTGTGTGGCTGGCGAAAGTCCCACACAGATTCCCTAGGATCTTATTGGAGCCCAACTTCAATTCCATCTGGAAGCAGCTGTCCTATTCAGCTTCTCCTGCAAGGCTCTGCTTCTACCACTGCCCAAGAGCCATTAACGCGGGCCACCATTAGGAGAGTGTCAGTGGGCAAGGCAGTCCTCAGTGGGAGGCCCCACCTTCTGCTCAGACTTTAAAAGTTCTCCTGAACAGTCCAAGGAGAGAAAACAGAATCAGAGTTGCAGGATGCAAGAGATACGTTCTAACGCCTCTATTTCTGACGCTTTCATCTTCTCTCTTAATGCTTCTGTTCACATTTGCTTTCCTTCCTAACTTTTATAGAATCACAGGTTTGAAGAGCAGACAGAGGTCCCTATCTAAATATTTCCTCGGTCAAGGTAACTCCACTATCTACGCAGATGCTCCTTGCCCAAACATCTGTAGATCTCTCTTCGACTTCTTGATTTACTCACTTGTGCCTTTATAAACTCACCGGACACCAAATCTTTTTCTTTGTGTCTATCTTCTCTTTGCAAGTCTCCACCCCTCGCCTGCTTTGTCCAACATGTCATATTTAATCTCTATATTGTTTTAGAGTTCTCCCTTCCTGCTATCTCATCTCCACGTTACACGCATCAAAAATGTATTCTACCACCATTTATATATACCAACTGTATGCATTTTCACCATCTGGACACACTTGCACCAAATGTATACATTTTCATATAAAACTCATTATAATGAGTTTCTTGGCCTAGGTCAGCAGTAATTTAACTCAGTGGCAACCACAGCAAAATATGTATCACTATGTATGGTAAAATATGTATTAAGCAAAATAGGTGAGTTTATTAAAGAAGAAGAATTTGCAAAGAAATGTAACCAAAGTTACACAGTAGTAATTGGGATACTGCTCTAGTATTAAATATGAGGTGTCTGGTGGTCTCTATTCTCGGGAATCTTCCTAAAATCTCTAATGAGAACACAGATAGTTGGTATCTGCGGATGCAGTCATGAGAGAAGGCATCATATAGGAGAAGGGATGTTGGTTTGAGAGTCAGGAGCGGTATTTTCACAGACTCCACACATGCTCTTCACACTATTTTCCCAACTGGTGTGTGTGTGTGTCACTTCCTTCCTTTCTTCCACATGGATTTAACTATAAAGATGAACACATTTTGAAGTCTTAAAAGAGGTGTGCACACATATAAAGTATTAGTAGGAGAAAAGCAATTTACCTGGGAAAGACTTTTGAAAGCAAAAAAGAAGTGAGAAATTGATGGATAAAGTGAGAGTTCTCCAATCAACCGATACTATCTTTAGATCACCGAGTGGTTATTCATTTGCTAAACTTGGCCCAAACTTTCCCTAACGCCTAGTGACTGCGTCAGGCTATCGTTTCAGTTTGCTCATCTGTAAATGAGAGTAGTAATGATATTTTTCTCACAGTATTATTATTTAAATTAAATAAATAAATATGTCTAAAGTGTTTTTACCTTAAATAGGGCAGTTCGATCTGATTGCCACCCTTACAATTCACAATCATTCACCCCGCATGTTTTCCATATACAGTACAGCAACATATCGTAATAGAAAGGATGTTAAAAGGTCCTAAAGTGATGTTGTGATTCGTAGTCAATCTCAACTCACTACATTCCATTTAGACAAACTGGAACTGTTCCTTAGATTTTAAAGGCCTTTTGGAAGCAGACTGGCAGGTTTGTCTTCTGAGGAAACTCTGGGTAGATTTTAACCACCAACCTTTCAGCTAGTACCCAAGCACTTACTGTTTCTTCCACCCAGAGTCAAGGTAACCACATTATGGGAGTTCAAATTAAAAAAAAAAATTCTGTCTTGGAAGAAGTACAGCCAGAATGCTCCTTAGATCTGAGGATGGTGAGACGTCAACTACTTCATCCCATGTACTTTGGATATGTTGTTAGCAGAGACCAGCTCTGGGAAAGTGTTATCATACTTAGTGCAGCGGAGGATTAGCAAACCAAAGGATGCATTGACAGGTGAGGATGAGGTAGGCCTGCCTGTCTGTTGTGCTCATGGTTGCCATGAGTCAGGGCTTACTTGGCAGCACCTCAAAACAATACCCCTGACAAAGCTTTGTCTAGCGAAAATCATCTCTCATGTTTCCACCCTCCCTGACCGAGTCCACGTCTTCTACAACTGCAGCTCCCGATGTTTTGGGCATGATAACACGCAAGATAAAATAATGTCATATGTATACCACATTCTTAGGAAGACACCCAGGGGTATACATGCATTCCAGCATGCTCAATTTTTCTTCATCTCTTATTTTCCAACCCAAGACAGTACATCAGAATACAAACGAGAGTGTCACATTATCACAGAAATAAACATGTCCCAATCTTAATACTTCAAACATCATTACTGACAGTATATTATTTACCACAGCTAAGTACTAAATTTGACATCACATTTAGAAGCAAATTCCCTTTTTAAAAAAACAATATATCACTCATCTGGAGAGAGAAATGAAATCTTGACATATGTTCTACCGTGTTTGGACCTAAGCTTAATAGGTCATTCACAAAGGACAACTATTGCATGACCTCAAACACAAGAAGAGGAAAATGTATAGAGGGACCTTGGGAAAGGATATATGGCTTATGGAGTATCAGTTGGTGGTGATGGAAAAATCAAATTAAGCCAATTAATGTAATGTAATTAATGTAATGGTTGTCAACAAGTTGTATATTTTTAAAGAGCTGCCCACATATAACCTTAACCAAAAAAATAACCCCTGAAGTCTTACTAAAATTAAACAATAGTTTGGCATAACTAGAAAGGAATGTCTGCCTTGAACATTTTGCTTTTTAACGAACTATATACATGAGATCACAACAGAAACTCCACAGGTTAAATAAGAGATTGGAGGGAAAGGGTTGTCGCTGGGTGCCTCCCTGCTCTGATATGGCACACATTGCACTTCTGGCATGTTTAACACTCTCTTCAATATCACTGTAAAGTATTTACTCAGCTGCTATTTACTGAAAGGCCACTGGTGGCCCAGGGTTCTGGATGGGACAGTTTGTGTTTGACAACTAAACTAAAATTTGGTAGTTTAAAAGCACCCAGTGGAGTTATAGAAGAAAGATCTTTGCTTCCATCACGATGACAGTCAAGAAAACCCTATGGAGCTGTAGTATTCTGAAGCGCTGAGTGTCACCAGGGGTTGGAATTGGCTTAACAGCAACAGCTTTGCTTTTTAAGTTTAGCAGTGCTCACTTGTCTCTGCCGAGAAATCAGAAAGAGCTACCCGGTCAACTCATCGGAAGAGATCCATCCACCAAAGTAAGGCGATCCAACTGGATGCCGGAATTATCAAGCATCATCAGTAATATCAAATTCTAGTAAAATAATGCTGAGGGTAATTAAGGACTGACTGCCACGTGACTGAGAGAACTGCCAGAAGTTCAAGTCAGATTCTGAAAAGGATGACAGAGAAGTGATATCATTGCTGATGTCAGGTGAATATTGACTGCAAGCATCCACAGAGCACCAGAAAGATATTTACCTGTGTTTGATAGAGTATGCAAAGGCATCAGTGTGCATCATAACAGAATATGGATAACATTGTGATGAATAGGAACACCGAACCACTTCATTATGTTCCTGTGGAACCAGTGCATGGACCGGGAGGCACGATTCAAACAGAACAAAGGGATCTGAGTGGTTTAGAATCAGGGAAAGTATGTGTGTCTGGGCTATATTCTTCCACCTTATCTATAAAGCCTTAATTCTATACAAGTAACCTGAAAATACTGGAATACATAAAAAAAAGTATACAACATTAAAATTGGGAACGGCTCATTAAAATTGGAGAAAGGCTCATTAACCTGTGATACATAGATGGCACAGCATTGCTTGTGAAAGTCAAAAGAATATGTAGCACTTGCTGATGCCAATCAAAGATAATATCCTTACCCATGGATTATACCTCAACATAAAAGGAGAATACTCACACCCGACAAATAAGCAGCAGCATCATAAAGGAACAAACATTAAAGTTGTTAGGATTTTCTTTTTCTTGGCTCCACGATCAACAACCATGGAAGCACGTTGTTGTTAGCGGGTGCCTCTGAGTCAGTTCCAATCCATGTGACCCCATGGAAGGAGCCCTCAAGGAATCAAACGAAAGCTACTCTTGGATAAATGTGCTTTGAAAAACCTCTTAAAAGGTTACAAAGATAGGATGGTGTGCCTCACCCAACTGGTGGAATTTCCAATTGCTTTACAGATGTATGGGGAAGTTAGACAATAAGTAAGGAAGACCAAAGAAGAACGGACCCCTTTTAATGACAATGTTAGTGAGGATAACGAAAGCATGGACTACCAGAAAAACAAAGAGATCTGGCCTGAAATATGTACAGCCAGACTGCGTCTTACGAATTAGTAATCAATACTACATCTCATGTATTTGGGACATGTTATCAGAAAGGACAAGATCCTGGGAAAG